ATGGGCCTTCCCTGGTGATTCAGATGGTAAAGAATCTGCCTGCAATGCAGGAGAGCCGGATTTGATCCCTGGGTCGGGAAAATCCCCTGGAGAAGGCAAGGGCTACCCATTCCAGTATTCTTGCCTAGAGAATTTCATGGACAACAGAGCCTGGTAGGCTACAGTTCATGGGGTAGCAAAGAGTCGGACGCGACTGAGCAACTTTCACCTTCACCACATCCGTATATGACTACTGGAAAAACCATAGGTTTGACTATACGGACCTTTGTAGGCAAAGTAAAATCTTTGCTTTTTAATACGGTGTCTAGGTTTGTCATAGCTTTTCTTCCAAAGAGTAAGCATCTTTCAATTTCATGGCTGCAGTCACTGTAGACCACTAGAAAGTCTATGTCCACTTATAATATACCTTAACTCATTGACTATTTATTGATCACCTACTACATCACAGACATGAAATATGCTGTTGAACAAGATGAATCTTTCATCTTAGCCATTTCACTCTGGCCAGCATTGTGTCTGGGTGAGTATCTTGCTACACACTTGCCAACACCAAGTATTACCATTCTCAAAAAGCTTCAAGCAGCCAAAGGCATAAAGAACGCTCTGATAATTTGAGTGATGAAAAATGATATGTTGTCACTGCATTCCTGTGTATGTATTTGATTACTAGTGAGGTTGAATTCCTTCCCACACATTTTCTAGCTAATCAGCCAATTGTCCTATTCTTCTTTAAATGTTCTTTAAAACCTTTGAAAATAATTTAAAGGAGACAAGAAGCTTGGAAACATTAAAAGACTTAACATATATCTGGAAATAAGTAGGCCTCAGGTCAAATACATAGGCTTTAGACATTGATTTGAAGCCAAACATTATACATACTGCAACTCTCATGGGCTGGAGAGGACTGTTTAGTCAAGAGCACCTGGCTTCTTTCCAGAGAACTTTGAGAATTGCCACTCTGAACGAGACCTTTCCACTGAGAGCTGCAACAGAAACTAGAATGGTAGGAGGCTTGCTTTCAATCTCAACATCCTAGTGTTTGCCCAACAGCCCATTTTATTGAACATCAACTCTGCTTTGAAAGCATTTACATTTTCAATCTGGATCACTTCTTGAGGTTTTCAATGGCATTTTCTAAACTCTGTATGAAGCAAGACTACCTTTAATCCATTATCCCTCTAAGGGTATACCCTGCTATAGAGGTATAGCAGGAAGGGCACTGGACTGTGACAAGTGAAAATTATAACCCCATCTGTGTGTGTGTGTGTGTGTGTGTGTGTGAGTCACTCAGTCACGTCTGACTCTTTGAGGCCCCATGGACTGTAGTCCACCAGGCTCCTCTGTCCATGGGATTTCCCCAGGCAGAATATTGGAGTGGGTTGCCATTCTCTTCTCCAAGGGATCTTCCCAACGCAGAGATCAAACCCCACATCTCCTGCATTGGCAAGCAGATTCTTTACCAGCTGAGCCACCAGAGAAACCCATAAACCCCCCTAGCCCTCCATAAAAACATTTCCCCCACTTTTTACTGAGATATAATTGATATATAACCTCATGTAAGTTCTGGTGTACAGCATATTGACCTCATACATTCATATTGTTACAGATTACCATTGTCATGTTAGCTAACACCTCTGGCACCTCACATAATTTTCATTTCTTCTAGTGGTGAGAAAAATTAAGATCCAGGCTCTTAGCAAATTTAATGCTTATAATATGATTTTGTTGTCTACAATCACTGTACTACATTAGATCTCTAGGACTTATTTGCAAATGTGTATCCTTGAACATCTCTCCTACTGCCCTACTCCCAGCCCCTGGTAGCCATCTTTCCATAATCTGTTTTTTAAGTTCAGTTTTGTTTTCTTTTATAGATTCCACATATCAGCAATATCACACAGTATTTGTCTTTCTCTGTCTGATATTTTTCCCACTTTTAATAATGGCTACCTTTGAGGAGAGAGAACCAGAGGTGAGGGGAAGGGACTGAAGTTACCTTTTGTATCTTGCTATAGTTTGAATTTTGTAACCTTAAACAAATGTGCCCTTTAAAAATTTCAAACACGGTTTATCTGGGTGGGAGCTAGTGGCTTGTTGGTATTTTTTACTTTGTACCTCTCAGAAAAAAGCCTGAAGAATTATTTATTATTAAAATATCCCTAGTTTTGTAAAACAAAATCTGTGTATGTGTGTGTATGTGTGTGTCTCATATCTCTGCAGGAATACAGACCAAACTGCTAATGTGTGGGCTAAATTTCAAGATTGTTTGGGAAGCTGAGAGAGGGAGAAATGAGTTTCATTTGTTACTTATATATTGTTAAAGTGTGTTGTAGTGAACATGTATTACATTCTACATTTTTTTCAGACATGAAATAATAAACCATTTTTCCCCCTGAGGCTAAAAGGGACATGTGTTCATTCTGGAAAATATAGAATAGTATAAAGAAGAAACAATCACAACAGTTAACATTTTAGCATGCTTCCTTTCAGGCTTCCTTTTATACATTTTTTTACATAGTCGAGTTCACGTTGTATATAGTTTTGTATCCTGTTTTTCTCTCTTAAGAATAAAACACAAGCATTTTCCTGTGTCATGATAGTATCTGTATGGCTGCATCACACACAATTTTATGGTTTCATCACAATCCGAGTGGATTAATCAGCTATTTCTTAAAGCTGAACATTAAGGTTGTTTCCAGTTTTTCCACATTACAAATGATTCTTTGATGAGCATCTTAGTAACGAAATCTTCATTTGCATTTCTAAATGTTTCCTAGGGCTAGATCCCTACCAGTGGATTTAATGAACCAAAGAGTAGATTTCCAGAAGTAGGATATCAATGGATAGCAAATATTTTTACAGATAACCAAAGGTTATACCAATTTCTACTCTCCCCAGCAGTGTACAAAAGTCTCTGACCAATATTGTATATAACCCCCGCCCCCCCCTTTTTTTCTTTTATCCTTTCAGTAGGAAAGTAGTAGGTGAGAGCGTTATCTTCATTTGTCATTGCTGTTGAGACTGAACATTTTTCATATGATTATTCACCACTGGTATTCCTTCTTCTGTGAACTCTTTATTTTGATTTTTGCCCATTCACTAACTAGTCTCTTACGGTTTTCTTGTCAATCAAAACGAGCTCTTAAAAGATATGAATCTTTGTCTGTCGTATTAGTTGCAAATGTAAATATTTTTCACAACTTTTTTTTTAACTGTCTTGGCCATACACAGATTTTTTTTGTTTTTTTAAAAAGACAATCTGATTCTAACTACAGCCCAGTGCCCCCAGTTTGAGCCTGCTTTCCCTGATTAAATTGAAGAGATTTGACAAAAGATCTGGAAAGGCCATTTCAGCTAATGCTAAATTTAGATCTGTGAATAAAAGTGTGTGGGCCCGACTTAAACATTGTTCGGTTCATATGCACTTTTGCATGATTTATGGAGAAGGAAATGACAACCCACTCCAGGATTCTTGCCTGGAAAATTCCATGGACAGAAGAGCCTGGTGGGCTATAGTCCACAGGGTCACAAAGAGTGGGACAAGACTGAGTGGCTGAGCACACACACAAATGATTTAAGAAGATGGGGTGGGGGGGGTCAGGGATGGAAGCAATTTGTGCCAGAAATTTTTAGAATTCTGAGGTAAGAAGCCAATTCTCTCCAGTCTCCTGCGTGTTGGGAGGGGGAGTAAATTTTGTGCCAGAGAATAGAACTCTTGATGGAAAAGTACTGCTCTGGGTTGCAGATGTGTACATGGCTTGGCTTTAATTATTTTTTCCCCTTCTCTCTACCCTTTCTTCCGCTCCCCTCCCCCTGCCACCATAAAGAGGGCAGCCACATTAGGACTCTGAAGGGTACAGACAGTGCTTCCTCCACGAGGCTGCTCCTGTGCAGCGGGTTAGCACATCAAAGGCCGGATGAAATACCGGGGAAACAAGGGCTCAAATCTAGGATCCTTCCAAACTCCCACCTTCATCTGGGCTCTAGCACAGGGTTATTGTGACTGCCAAGGATAGCTCAACCAACTTCAAATAGAAGAATGCTGCCAAACAAAGAAACTTTGGTCATTATTCTGAGCCAAAAAACGAAAACAAACAAACAATAACAACAACCAAAAAAAGTGCAACAGAGTATTGCCCGCTGATGCCCTAGGATTGAGCAAATCAGTGATTGCAAAAAGGACTTAGTGTTCCAAAAACGAACCAAAAGCAAATCCGATCCGTTTCACCAGACATTGAGAGAGTTATCAGATGAGGCCCGGGCACTGATTTGACCTATCCCGAGGTGTGTCTGCCCCACAGCATCTGGTGGGAGGAGGATTGGAGAAAGGCCGCCAAGGGGAGCGAGGTGAAAATGGTTAGTCTGGGTCTCTAGGGTGGGAAAGGAGTTTAAGGAGTGAGTTTCCTGTCTCCTAAGAGAGCCTCGTGATCCCGAGGGTTGGCCGGGGAAAGATGAGTCTTCTGAATGGAAGGCTGGGAGAAGCTTAAAGCAGGAGAAATGGAGTTAGTGTTTGCGTCGCATCAGGTCGCTGAGGGGACCTTACACAGAGCCCGGCAAAGCCAAGCGGGTAGGTGTGCGATGAACAACTGGGGGTAAGGAGGAGGGCTGCGTGATGCGTCGCAGTTAGCTAGAGGCTGGCGTGGGGACGGCGTGAGGCTGCGGCCAGGCCTCAGGTATTGCTGAGGGGTGTGTTCCACAATCTCGGCGGCGGAGGAGGTAGGATTCGGCTGGGGGAGGGGAGCCACCACCAAACGGAGGCAAGGTGGGGGGTCTGAGCTGGGCGGGGCCTGACTGAGCCGAGCCAGGAGCCTCCGCGGCCGCGGGGAGGCGGGGCTAAGAGGCCCCGCCTGTCCGCCTCCGTCTCCGCCCCGCCTGGCTCCGCCTCCTCCGCTGGCTAGTCTTGGTCAGCCGGGCCCCGCGCTCCAGTAGCTCGCAGAGAGGGAGGAGAAAGCGAGTTCCGGATCCCTGCCTGTCCCGGCCCAACCTTTGCTCCAGCGATCATGGCTGCCGAGGATGTGGCGGCGACCGGCGCAGACCCGAGCGAGCTCGAGAGCGGCGGGCTGCTGCACGAGATTTTCACGTCGCCGCTCAACCTGCTCCTCCTCGGCCTCTGCATCTTTCTGCTCTACAAGATCGTGCGCGGGGACCAGCCGGCGGCCAGCGACAGCGACGACGACGAGCCGCCCCCGCTGCCCCGCCTTAAGCGGCGCGACTTCACCCCTGCCGAGCTGCGGCGCTTCGATGGCGTACAGGACCCGCGTATACTCATGGCCATCAATGGCAAGGTGTTCGACGTAACCAAAGGCCGCAAGTTCTACGGGCCTGGTACGGCGGCTGGCCGGGGGGCCGCAAAGACAAAAGAAGGGGCCCCGGCACGGGGCTGGGTCCCGGAGAGGCGAGGAGGGAGCGGGGCGCCCGGGGAGGGGCTAGAATGGTGTCCAGCTTGGGAGGGCGGGGCAGGGAGGCTCCCCGGGCTGGCAGGGGGCCAGAGGCGCCCTAGAAAGGCTGCGAGCCCGCGGGATCGCAGATTCCCAGTCCGCACCGCCAGCCCCGGCGTGGGGCGGAGGAAGAAGACTGAAATGCTTAAGCCGGGGGTGGATGGTGGGGTGAGATCGCCAATCTGGAAGGCGGAGGGCGGGGGGTGGCACCACAGAGTGCAGTGTTGGGGGAGTTTCGAAGGTGTGGGGTTCGAGGGTTCCTGGAAGGAGGGGATGATATCGGGCTGGGGAAAGGAAATGAGAGTGTCTCGAGGGAAACACGATGGGAGGGAGGGCGAAAGAAGGTCGGGAGGTCCAGCCTTGGAGGGGCCAGGAAGGCCGATGACGCCAGGAGTAGCCATGAGGAATGGGGAGGTGTGGGAGAAGGAAATGGGAAACGGGATTAGCAGCAGGTTGGAGCACTGTGCGTGGCAGTGAGTGATGTGTGTGCTCTCTGTGTGATGCGTATGTGGCATGTCAGGCTTCTGTGTGTGCATGCACACGCGTGCGCCAGCAATGTGGCATGTGTCAGGTATGTGAGTGGCATGTGTTTGGTATGTGTGTGGCAGACGGGGAAAGCTGGGAGGTGAACAGGGGAAGCTCCATAGGGGGAAGGGGGCTGGATGTAGAAGGCTGAATGTAGCGGTCGATAGGAATGTGGCAAGACCAGAAGGTAATACAGTATTACACTCCATAGCAGGAGAGAAGGAACTAGAAGCCAAAAAAAAAAAAAAATGGAGGGAGGGAGAAGTGGGAGGATCCTGAGAAACAAAAGGGGTAGGGCTAGGAAGGCTGCTGGGTGTGGGGATTTCGTGGAAAAGCCAACCAGAGGGGAAATGAGGGCTGCTTGACTGAGGAGCTGTTGGAGAGGGACAGGCTTGGTAGGGCCTTAGAAATGAGGCTTTTCCAGGCTTGGTTGCGGATCAGAATCACCTGATGCACTTGAGGTACAATACAGATTCCCGGCCTAATCTCCCCCAAGAGTGGGGGAAAGGGGCGATCCAGAAATCTGCATTTTAACACGCCCACCCCCAGGCAAATTCGGGATGTCTCCAGGTTCGGAAAGTTCTGCTTTGCGGCATGTTTGGATCAGAGGAGGAAGGGGTTTTAGCTTCACCAGTAAGGATGCGTCTAAAATCAGGGGGTTCAGGGAGAGGAGGAAGAGTGTAGAAGGCAGCAGTCTGCCTTCATCCCCACTCCTGGTTGGTTTTACTCTCCCCCTCAAACTCATCAACATCAGATGTATTAAAGCACTCTCCCACGCCACAGTTTTTCTTTGGGGAGGATTTAGAAGACCTACTTCCTATAAACATGTAACTATCAAAATAATTTGAAAACCATACCTATAGTATTTGTCACTTACAGTGGCACCCCTAAAGGCTTTATCAGTAAACATAATCGTGTAAATATCTGTTATGACCAAGCCGCCCCATAAAGCAGTTGAAACATGCCTGGAGCTTCGTCATATGATTGTAGTTTGCAAAGTCATTGAGAGGAATGTAGGCCTGTGTACAGAGCTCGAAACTGGGAGTCAGGCAGCCTGGGTTCTCTGCCTTGTTGGATCACTGACCACCTGTGTGACCTGGGGCAAATCACTGTTCTCTCTAGGCCTTAGTTGTTCCTCTTTAAAGTGATAAGGATGGCCCGTTGTGAGATCTCAGTCTCTACCTGCATGAGTCCATGAATGTGTAATATCACGTGTAAATTTGTGTTATACTTTGCGTTATAAAGGATTCCTGAAAATGATTCATTATTTTTAATGATGTTGTATGCACGGCACCTTTGTGGGTGCTGGGATTAGTAGTGAACAAAACAGGCCTACATCTCTGCTCATGGAGCTTACATTCTAGTGACTATACATTCTGGTGGGTAATGTATATATTCTCCAAAGATTTTTAATGCTCACCTCAGAGTGTTTTCAGTATTCCATAACCATAAGTTCTAAAATGGTGAGATCCAAACCCGTCTACTTGGCCTGTTTACCTTCTCTAGTGGAAATGGTAGTATGTAATGGTGATGAAAAACAACCATTTTTCTTTGGAATCTTATGTGCCTTTAAAAGTTGATCATAAATTTCATCTAATTTGTAAAAATAAAAGTGTCCTACTGGATTGAGGTTTCAGGTGGCCAGGCCATATTGAAATGTGATCTGTTCTCATACTTGGTGTGGTAGTTACTTGCAAACTTCTTCATATCTGACTTGCTACTTGGTCTACCTTTGGGGAAACAACACATTGTTTAAAGTACACTGGATTCTTTTCATTTACTGGTGCAATATTTAAGTCGAAAAATCCACTTGAAGTACATACAGAATGATTCACTGCTCTCTTAGATAACAATTTAGTATCATTATGTATAATAGCAGTCAGATATTTTATCGAATTTTCAGAGTCTTCAAACCCACCCAGAACAGCTGACAGACCTGATTCCATGCCATCACTTCCTTACTGACAGTGAAGATTATGTAATCTTTGGATAGATTTCTAAACCACTGATACTCATAAAATGATTTCTCCTGCAGAGGCCATACATTAATGTTCAACACAGTCTAGTCTCACAACCAAAGATCTTTGTGAGACACTTTTGGCTCATTAAATTGTGTCAGCATAGGTGCCTCACAACTAAAGATCTCTGTGAGACACTCTTGGCTCATTAAATTGTATCAGCATACATGTGTAAAATATTTCTATTTACACTCTAGTGTTTCTTATCTTCCCAGGTGGCGCTAGTGGTAAAGAACCCACCTGCCAATGAAGGAGGCATAAGAGATGTGGGTTCAATCACTGGGTCAGGAAGATTCCCTGGAGGAGGGCATGGCAACCCACTCCAGTATTCTTGCCTGGAGAATTCCATGGACAGAGGAGCCTGGCAAGCTGCAGTCCATAGGGTCGCACAGAGTTGGACACGACTGAGTGACTTAGCATGCACACACGTTTCTTATCTTCAGAAACCATAACTTTCACTGGTGCAGCCCTAGTCCCTAGAACAGAGCCAGGTTCCAGGTTCAATGTCCAGAAGTTGAATTCTGACCCATAAACTATATCTTGGATCATTCCCTACTAACACCCTCCCCCCGGGAGATAATCATTTATGGCTTTTTTATTAGCTGTTTGCAATCACAAGAAATGAATGCTACAGTATAGCATTTTGATTTAGTTTTAGGTATTTAAAAGTTTAATGACAACAGGTCTTTCAGTATTCACTGGTAATGATCAAAGGATCCACGTCAATCACTTATGGTTTCCAAATGGAATTCGATATTCAAAAATGCGCTCTTCATGCTCATTGGTAAGGAAGCCATTTTCTGTGTTTGAGCCACAGAGAAATTGACTAATAGACAATTGGTCTTTGGTTTGGTTTTGTTTTTAAAGAGGGGCCGTATGGAGTCTTTGCTGGAAGAGATGCATCCAGAGGCCTTGCCACCTTTTGCCTGGATAAGGAAGCACTGAAGGATGAGTACGATGACCTTTCTGACCTCACTCCTGCCCAGCAGGAGACCCTGAGTGACTGGGACTCTCAGTTCACTTGTAAGTGTTGTTGTTGTTGTTGTTGTTGTTGTTGTTGTTTTGCCAGGGTCAGATTTCTACCAATAATGGGATTCACAGCAGTACAATAGTTACTACTAAGCAGGCTGCGACTGTGGAGCATTTTGATAGGCTCCTGAATCTTGGACAGGTCAAGTTTGTGGCTTGAAGTAATTGTAGCAGTGCTGAGTCACTTGCCATGACTGCATCCCAATATCTAGCTAGTTCTCTGTGGAAACCTGGGTTTCTGTTTTTGAAATTCCTGAGGTTTGCATAGATTTTCCCACTAGGAGTTGGTGTGCAGGGGAAAGGAGAGTGGCCATCTTGGCTACAGAAGGATTTTCATAAGCCCTTACTTGTAGAACTTGCTGTTTAAAAGCAGCCCACATTGCTGTTAAAGAATGAGAGACTTATATTGTACAAAACAACTTCTCTTTGAATCTAATTGAGCCTAACTATAGGCCTCATCTACAAATGATGCTTATCATCTGCCCAGCAACAATGGTGTCTACATTTTTAAAAAAGAAAGCAGAAAGGAGACACTTGTTTCCTGGCTTATGCTATGGACCAAGGGCTTTTGGGGGAAGTAAGGCTGGAGGGCAAATTCAAATCTTAAGAATTGGGAAATTGGCTTTTGTCCAACCTAAGTGTTTAATGATCACTTTAGCAATATTTCACTGCTAAGAATTTGAAGAATAATCTTTCCAAGCTTTGAAACAGTATGTAAAGACAGTGGCCATTTCCTTGAGGGTCATTTTTCATTGTAAATGTTGTTTTCTATTTACTGTTCTGTTTTTTTTTTTTGCTAAATTCAACCGTTTTCTTTGAGAGTAATGCTCACCTCAGAGAGAGTTCTGGATTAATAATTAGCCAGGTATAACTCTACCTTTAGAGTTTGGATCCCAAGCTGACTAAGTATAACTTTCAAGAGGCAAGTCCTTGTACTCTGAAAACATAATTCAGCTATCTAACGGTCCCTCATTTTTTGCATCTTCAGGATACTTTTGTAACAATAGATTGTTCTATATGAAACCAATGAGTTGTAATTCATAATTTACAAAGCTCTATTTTATAGGGCTTACCTTCATCAATGGGGGTAAAAAACCGTGGTTCCCCCAACCCCTTAAACTAAGGCTAGTCCCAAATACTGTTGTGACACTTGAGCTACACTCAAAACTGGCATGGTTTCCCCTTAAGGCAGGTTTCTCAGGTGCCACCCAGCTTTTATTTGTCTTGCACAGTCACCAGCACCCTAGGGACCTTTATAATATGTTCAAATAGGCAAGTTCTAACTGTTCCTGACGATTATTTCACAGCAAAGTAGCTCCAGTTACCTGGTTAAACAGGTTGGTTGCTCCTTTAATTCCTACCCATATTCAGAAAGAGGAGTTTTCTTGACCTCTGACACTGAGATAATTAACCCTACACTGACTTGGCCCAGTAATACAGCCAATATGGTGGTCATCTGCTGACTCAATCCCTCCTCGAGTCTCTTACATTCTGGTTGCCCTCTTAAACCTGCATTATCCAAAATCTCCAATGTTCTCCTATTTCCTTTACCACTGCCTTTAACCACGTCTATCCTTTTTCCCCGAGTTGAGGGAAATTTCTGTCTCCTGCTCTCCCCTTTATCCTCTGAGACTATTATCATTCCTTCCTCTCACTGTCAGACAAGCATCTAATAATCATGGCTGCCCCTAACCACTGTTCCATCCCTCCTTGCTCTCTACAATATGGTTTCTGCCCCCACCATTCCAGTGAACCTTCTGTCTCAAATGTTTACAGAGACCTGCATGTTGCCAACACTAATTGCAGTTCTCCAGTCCCTGTTGTCAGTCTCCAGTCACATGCTCTGGTCACAAAGTCCCCATTTCGGTCCATGGAGTCTCCAGTGTTCACTTCCTTAACTCCTGTTTACAGGAGTTAAACCTTTAATGGGTCTCATATCCTTCCGTTTTCACCCCCATAGACACCGCCTTCCTCCTGGCTCTCGTTTCTCCCCATAAGGATCTGTCCACTGGCCTCCTAGTCACCCTATCCCTGGACTCTCCTGACTAATCTGCCCTGCCCTCTATACACAGTGAAACCGTTGTTACCACAGCACTATTTTACCTTGTCATTCCTTTGTTGTACACTTTGGTGCCCTTTGCCATCTGTGGGATAAGTTCAGACTCTTGAGGCTGCCTTTCCACATCTTTCGTAAGGTTTCCCCACCCTGTTTGGCTGGCACTGCTCCCAGTCTCCTCCTGCCAACTCGGTCCCTTTATTGCTCCCCAGATACGTTTGGTCTCACCTGCACGCCTTTGTGTGTGGCGTTGGCACTTTGTGGAAACCCCTCCTTCCCCAAGTCCTTCTACACATCTTCCAAAGCATATCTTTCTCCCACGAAGTGTCCTGCAACCCTTCCAACTAACTCATACCAAGCCCTTGCTCTGCTGAACATTCCCCCACACAAACAACCCACTTTGACATTACCTTGCACACACACTGTTGGGCATCACTCCCCATTCTATACTTCTGTCTGCTGAACATAACTAACTCCCTGGGACTTGGCTGGGACTATGGTATAAACTGCCTTCAAGAAGCCCAACATGCTTTTGTGTCGGTCTTTTGGCTAAGATCAAATGTGTGTGTTGCTTATAGGCCTCTCGTAAGTGCTTTCAAAGGAAATATGGTAGTGCTTTTCTCCAAAGTATGAGAATGACCAGTTTTGGCATCTTCTTTCCTTCCAGTCAAGTACCATCACGTGGGCAAACTGCTGAAGGACGGGGAGGAGCCCACCGTGTACTCAGACGAGGAGGAGCCAAAAGATGAGAGCACTCGGAAGAATGATTAAGGCCTTCAGCGGAAGCATATCTATTTTTGTATTTTGCAGAACCATTTGTAACATTCCAGTCTGTCTTTAAAACATGGTGATTTCAATATTTAGAAAAGTTTTGAACTTGCTGTACATTTTTTTAATTAACATCACTAGTGACACTGATAAAGCTAACTCTGTCTTAGAATGCATGATATGTTTGTGTGTTACAAATCCAGAAAGTGAACCGCAGTGCTGTAAGACAAATGTTATTACTGTTTCTCTTCTATCTGTAGTCAGTGCAGGCTGAATTGGAACTTGTGTTTCCTGAGAGACAGGTAAGATATGGGTATTCCCCCCAAACAGGTTTAAACGTTAAATGTGTGAAGTCCTTCAGGCTTCAAGGAACACAGAATGGACTTTGAGTCATGATATTCTCTAAAGATAGAAAATCCTTTATTTCTCAATTGACCTAACTGCATGATTTCTGTTTTCTCTACCTCTAAAGCAAATATGCAGTGTTCCAAAGGCTTTGGTATTGATTAAAGAGAGCAGTCCAGTACAAAATGAAATCGCAAAGCTGGACTCAATCACAGGTAACCTACTTTCTCTGTTTGGGGACAGCATCATTGTCCTGTGCTCTTTGGAACACTCAGATGCCCTCACTTAACAATAATCTCCAATGAGGCTGAAAATAGGATCTCAACATTCCAAAGCAAGCTTTGACGAAAATCAGCTGGCTTGCCTAAAAAACGAAAATACATGAATAAGATTGTAGGACTATTTTCCCCATCCCTGTGTTCTTGGTTATTTCACATGATTGGACATGCGAGGGGGCTGTGTAGGACAGGAGCAGATTGCTCTCTAAGAGCCTTCACACACACCCCTGAAGAGTGAGGAAATCGTACACATTACTGGCCAAGTGGTTTTTCAAGTGTATTCATAACCTAACAGTTATTCCTCTGTTGTTACAAAACTATAGCCACTGCAAGAGTTGTAGTCAAGTGTCTTGGTCTTTGATATTGGTCTTGGTTAACAATAAACTTAGCTTAAGTAGACTGTACAGTTGTATGAATTTGTATAAGTATTATATGAATAACTAGTGAGGTTTCAAACTCTTGTAATTGTAGTTGAATAGTTATTGTATTTTCTTGTGAACTGTGTTTAATGGTTTTACCTCAAATCAGAAAACAAAATGAAGTGCTTTGGTCAGTTAATAAAATGGTTTTACCCAGTATAGTTTGGTGGATTGCCTTATTTCTTTTAAACCTTAATCTGAGGAAGCAGATTCAAGAGTTTCAGTTCTGAGTGACATTTTTTGTCTTCCAAAAGAGACAGGAAAGGGGTACAACTTCATAGAGGCTGCACACCAAAAACCAAGTACCAGCTTATCCTGTTAAAATAATGAGTCAAATTTACTTTTTTAAGTCAGAATTTAATAAACTCAGAGGCAGACTTCTGCCTTGAATTCTATAGCAAGTTTACTAAGGAGTAACTGGTGTTCATTGGAGGGACTGATGCTGAAGCTCAAACTCCAATACTTTGGCCACCTCGTGCGAAGAGTTGACTCGTTGGAAAAGACCATGATGCTGGGAGGGATTGGGGGCAGGAGGAGAAGGGGATGACAGAGGATGAGATGGTTGGATGGCATCACCGACTAGATGGGCATGAGTTTGAGTGAACTCTGGGAGTTTGTGATGGACAGGGAGGCCTGGCGTGCAGAGTTAGACATGACTGAGCGACTGAACTAACTCACTCACTCTAGTGAAGACTTACTGAGTGCCAAGGCAGGTTTTGTTTTTACTTTAAGTATCATCGGATTAGGAAAGTGTTCAGGAACCTTATGGTAGCAAAGTTGATTCACTTCATGCCAAAAGAAGATATGAGACTTACATATGCAGTCGGTTGTATAAACAGACAACCTATTACTCTGAAGATTAGTGTTTTTGCCATTTTCATGTGAAAATTCACAGACTCTTCTTACAAGGGAGGTACTCCCTGAACCAGAGAGGGCTCAGAGCTTTCCAGTTTTTATGTTCTCAAACCATATTGACTGTTTTTGTTGTTTTAAAATGTGTCCTTTCCCTACATTAGTTTTCATCCAACAAATATTTGAGCTGCCTGTTTTGTGCCAAGCAACCTGTTAGGCCGTATGCTTTGGGGGAAGGGGAGGGAGAGAGAAACTGGGCCACCTTTGCAGCCTGAGATTAGGCTACTCCTTTTACTCAAACAGGTTTGTCTGATGCCAAGAGGAAAACACCCAGAGCCTGGTTAAAAGCTTCAACCCCAGATAGCCGGCTTCCCCCCATTCAGAACTAAACATTGTATTGATTACAGGTAAAGGGATATTACTATCAGGCAGGACTTTCCTATAGAAACTTAAATCCAGCTCACACAGTTGTAAACCGTATTATGTAAAAGGCACCATTTGAGAAGATGGGGGAGTGGTGGTTACAGCCACGGCACCAGCCATGCCAACCAGGGAGGGGGCCAGGTGAACAGCTGTTTCCTCCTCCCCTGCTTTCTTCCAGCCCCTGCCTAGACACCATGTTCTCAGTCCCAACATCTGAGGGTCAGAAGCAGCATTTGCTACCTGCTTGCAGCATCTCTGTGGCTTCTCTACACAGTATCATGTTCACCTTACCTCAGAGGGCCACACTTCATGCAAACCCTCAATCCAGAATGAGCAAAAACAGCCTTTGCTGTCTCAGAAAGAGCTCTTTGAACAAAAAGAAGCTCTTAAGTACCCAGTTGCCCTCTAAGGTACAGTCCGCCTTTGTTACAGATATTTAGAAGAAATTTGCTGAACATTTCGTGTGAAAATACAGTTAACTCTTTCAGGATCAAAGACTGATCACTGAAGCCCCTCACATCTATGACTGGACTCCCCATCCCACACCCACACGTTTTTGGAAATGGGGTAACTTCTACACTTTCACCAAGGCCTGAAGTATGTGTGTGTGTGTGTGTGTGTGTGTGCACATGCTCAGTTGTATCCAACCCTGCAACCCCATGGACTATAGCCCGCCAGGCTCCTCTGTCCATGGAATTTTCCTGGCAAGAATACTGGAGTGGGTTGCCATTTCTTCCTCCAGGGGATCTTCCCAACCCAGGGCTCGAACCTACGTCTCCTGCATTGGCAAATGGATTCCTTAGCACTGCACCACCTGCGAAGCCCTAAGGGCTGAGGTGAAATTCTGTGGAATCTGTTTTGCTACCTATAAAGAACTGATAAAACCTTTGCTGAAGGGAGACTAGTCTTAAGTCAAAATATCATGATTTTCATTTATCCAAAATGAAAATACAACTGCATTTTTATGAGCTCTGACAGTCAATTGCCATTAACTGGCATTATAAAGGGAGAAGTTGCCTCAAAACAGTAGTGAAACCAGACATATTTTCAAAGAAAATATTACTGCAGGTGTGTGATATTCTATCCAGCACATGTGGTCAATGAACAAAGACTCTATACTATGACAACTTTATTTTTAATATATCTGAAAATCAAACATGTATTATTTCTCTACCAATGCAAATGACAAAAAGGAGCAGCAATGTTAGTGCAAAGCAGCATACTACAGGTAGAAATCTCACCCCCACCCCCACAAAGTGGAATTATCAACATTTTAAAGTGAACATTTTGAACAGTCTTTCAACAAATGAAAATACATTTATTTGGTTCTTAAGTTCAAAATTACCAGATTACAATGGCTTTCTACCTGAGGAATTCAAACAAATGTGACAAAAACACATTAACAGACTTTTAGCTAATTCTTAAAGCACTATTAGTAACGTATACAAGGGAAAACATGAAAACACCTATTTAAAAAGACACAGATTAAAGTTCCGGCCCTTCATTGGACATAGGAAAAAGATATGAGAAAACTTTTGCACCACTTAAATAACAGCACAACAAAGAATAACAGTGTTAATTAACAGAAAGTGAGTATCACATTTTCAGTTCTAAATCATTCCATCCATTTGAAATGTTCAGGAGAAATTGTTCTCATCCTTGTTTAAGGCCTACACACACCAAAAAAAGAGATTTACTCAAATCTAGAATGCATTACCACAAGACATAAAAACCCAAAGTTGTATAGAAAGTAAACACAAAACCAGTATTTTTACTTTCTCCTAGGTCCCAGGATGGTATTTAGACCAAAATATTACATAGAAGTGACTTAGCACCAATTCTATTATACAAAATTTTTTTTTAATTGCACATGCTGTATTTTGCAATGTATTTTTTTATGTCTGGTTACTGAGCAGCAAATTGTTTTCATGCCTAAAATCTTTGCAAAGAAAAATTATCAAATGACAGAAGAGATCGAGTTGTTTTTTCTTTCTTTTTTCCAAAGCAAGCATAGCTGCTTTCCATTACAAACCCATAATGTTCTTTGTTTCAAGGGCATGAAACATGAAAAAAATAGGGAGGTTGGGTCTCACTGGAAAAGAATAATACCTGCTTGCTTCAGGTTGTCTGACAAAATACAAGCTGTTATAATTTAAAGGCTACTCCAGACAATAGTACTCTGAACATTAATAGTCATTGCTAGTCCTTAGAGGAGAAAAGGCACTCGCCCTGGAAGTGATTTTTCAGATTGGACAAGCCAAGCCTAGTTGATGGCTTGTGTGACTCTGATGGCAGAGTCACTGGCTTGCAAGTAGAATTGAATACAAGAGAACCAACAAATAAATGAATGATTTGAAGATTTTCTAGGCGTTTCAGATATCAGGTTGCTCAAGAGTCTAATTACAAGCACACATCGTGCCTTATCATTCTGGGCAGCCACACTGACTGGTGTCCTACTTCGGCTTGACCAGCTGGTCCTTTTCTATGGACTATCAAGTTAGGACTGTTTGAAATGAATCATGTAATATGAAAATGTTGCCTTCCACTACTTTGTGGATTAAAACACATTTTCCTGCTGCAGGCAGTCTAATCTCATTGAGGTCTTCAATTGCCATGTCAGCTATAGTTTTGTTGGAAAAAAAAAGTCATCTACTGCCCCCCCCCCTGAGTTCCTAAATCCAATATA